TCTGTTATTGGACTCACCACACAGTACTTTGTACATAGAAGACAATTAGTAGAATAGAGACTGATCTGACCTCATTTCCCAATTTTTTTTCCATAGACATTCTAAACTTAGCCTATAATCCCATTTTTTCCCACTGCCCATAGGGAAACCAGTCTAGAGAGTTCCTCAATACAGGTTCTGTCTAATGAATAAGAAAGCAACATAGGCGGGGTGCGGTGGCTCACGCCTGTAATCCCAGCACTTTGGGAGGCTGAGGCAGCTGGGTCACCTGAGGTCAGGAGTTCGAGACCAGCCTGACCAACATGGAGAAACCCCATCTCCACTAAAAATACAAAAAATTATTCGGGTGTGGTGGTGCATGCCTGTAATCCCAAATACTCGGGAGGCTGGGGCAAGAGAATCACTTGAACTCGGGAAGGTGGAGGTTGCAGTGAGCTGAGATCGCACCATTGCACTCCAGCCTGGGCGACAAGAGTGAGACTCTGTCTCAAAGAAAGAAAGAAAGAAAGAAAGCAACATAACACATCTTACTGACTACACACAAAAACACAGGATATAAAAAACTGTTTCCAGCTATATTCCTTTTCAGAATCTTGTTAGTGAATGACAAAGAGAAAAAATTCAGCAACTCTTTCAGTATACAATTTTAACAAACTGAGTTTGACTCTTGGGGAGAGAAGGTGGTGATGGTGCTGTCCCTTGTCTCCTAGAATTAGTGACTTCGAGTTACATCTCTGCTGCATTATATCTTTGTTTTCTTGGTGGTGGCATTCTTGGGTTTCAGTTGGTGGGGAGAGAAAAGCCTCATGCTGATAATGTACTGAAAGTAAATGAAATTAAATAAGCGAAGCAGTGCTCATCACTACTTCCTCCCCCCTGGGTAATTCAATTCAAGCTCTCTCTCTGATGGCAACTCACAGGGGCTGTCTCTGTCACCCCGCTGGGGCCTGGAGTCTTAACATCTAAATAAAAGTTTCACTCAAGCATTTTTTATGCTCCTGCCAGCAGGATCAGTGAGCTGGTGTGGGCACATTAATGTAATATTCATACTCACAGACTCTCCCTGCACACGAGGCAATGTCTTCCTATTTTCATAATTATAGATGTTCCATAAAATGGCATTTAAATTTGCATTAAAAAAGGAGGTTTGAATTCTAATAGAACGTTTAACATGTCTTTTATGATTCAGACTCTTGGCATCTTTAACAAGGAGCTGTGTCTCTAAGTTTAACAAGACCTTTAGAAAGAAAAGAGAAAAAAAAAAAAAAAAACCTGTGGGAAGAAGAGATGGAAACTCACGGTTTATGGGATCATGTTTTCCTCATCTCCCTATGTCTTTCATTTAATTTTTAGGCCTCCAGGAGCAATTTTTTTTAAGAGACAGGATCTCGCTCTGTCACCCAGGCTGGAGTGAAGTGGTTCAATCACAGCTCATTATAGCCTTGAACTCCTGGACTCAAGGCTGGAGTGAAGTGGTTCAATCACAGCTCACTGCAGCCTTGAACTCCTGGACTCAAGGGATCCTCCTACCTCAGCCTCCCAAGTAGCTGGGACTACAGGTTTGTGCCACACCTGGCCTCCCCAGGAGCAATTTTTTGACAGCACTTCAGAGAGCCTTCTCTTCTATAACTGGTCCTCTCCCCACGCAATGCCTCTCCCTCAGTAGAATCTGCTACTGTTTCCTTGGAGGTTGTTTCCAGAGGGGTAGGAGAAATGAAAGAACCCTAGAAAAATGAACTTTCCTTTGCTGCTGTTCATCTTACACGTGCACCCTGAGATGGACTAAAAGGATTTATGGTAACCACATAGTTTGCTAACTGTGAAACACACAAATGAAAGTAGTTCACGAATAAGGAGGTTAACAATAAGGACCAATTGGATAAAAAATCTGGCACATAGACACACTTAAAAACAGAAAAAGAGGCTCTTCTGATCTACCTTTCTATAACTAAGCTTGAAACAGCTTTAAAGTAAAATGTAATTTTAAATTGTTGTAGATGTTATTTTAAAACAAAAAGTAGGAAAGGCACTGAGCAAAGTGCCAGCTCATAGCCACCATTGAATAAATGTTACTGTAAGAAATGTTCAAAAAACAATTGTTTGAAAAAAAGTTATTTCAATCATAACTCTCAAGATACTGTATAGGTGGCCCAGTTGATTCATATGTAGTCATGCCTTACTTTGTTTTGTACTTGGTTTGCTTCATAAATTATTTAAGACAATCCAAAAGAGATTTGGGTTCTGGGACTAAAAGGAGTAAATGCTAAAATACCACTAGCCCAATTACCTTCTCTTTCACGTATCCGTGTGAAGAGATCACCAAACAGGCTTTGTGTGAGCAACATGGCTGTTTATTTCACCTGGGTGCCGGCAGGCTGAGTCCGAAAAAGGAGTCAGCAAAGGTGGTGGGATTATCATGAGTTCTTGTAGGTTTAGGGGCATGGGGTGGATCTCACAAAGTACATTCTCAAGGGTGGGGAGAATTACAAAGAAACTTCTTACGGGTGGGGGAGATTATAAAGAACATTGATCAGTTAGGGTGGGGTAGAAACAAATCACAATGGAATGGAATGTCATCAGTTAAGCTATTTTCACTTCTGTGGATCTTCAGTTGCTTCAGGCCATCTGGATGTCTACATGCAGGTCACTGGGATATGATGGCTTAGCTTGGGCTCAGAGGCCTGACATTCCTGTCTTCTTATATTAGTAATAAAAATAAAACAAAATAGTGGTGAAGTGTTGGGGCAGCAAATATGTTTGGGGGTGGTGTGGAGAGATAATGGGCGATGTTTCTCAGGGCTGCTTTGAGCGGGATTAGGGATTAGAGTGGGAGAGATTAGACTGAAGAAAGATTTTTGGGTGAGGGGTGATATTGTGGGGTTGCTAGAAGGACCATTTGTCATATAGAATGATTGGTGACGGCCTGAGTGTGGTTTTGTATGAATTGAGAAACTAAACAAAAGACACAAGGTCCGAATAATGAGAAAAACAGGTATTAAAGGACTAAGAATTGGGAGTACCAGGGACATCCAATTACAGTGTCAAAGGGGGTTCAGCATAATTATTTGCTTGGCTGGCGAGTTTTTGGACTCTATCCTTGAGTGTTTTATGTTGTCATATACCAGGCCAGATTGATTTAGGTAAAAACAACATTCTTCGTTTAAAAATATACAGTTATACACCTTCATTTTGCCTAATTAAGAAATGTAGAGTGTGTTCTTAAAAGAGGCTTTTATTTTTCATTCTTCTTTCATTTTATTTTTTGAGAAGTAAATTCCTTTTTGTCTCTATCCTTTGTCCCTCCCTTCTGTGAAGTAAGTACAAACCCCAGTGGAGGAAGATGGATTAGGATCTTGACTTCTCGATAAATTTGTACCTAACCAGGCTAATTGAAAGCCAAGAATGTTAGCAGCATACGATTCAAGGCTGATGTAAATTTCAGGGTATTGTGAAGCCTTCTACAGTTCTTAGATTCTTTCTCATACTTTTTTGTTTTGTTTTGTTTTGAGACGAAGTCTCGCCTTATCGCCCATGCTGGAGTGCGATGGCATGATCTCGGCTCACTGCAACCTCTGCCTCCCGCATTCAAGCAATTCTCGTGCCTCAGCCTCCCGAGCAGCTGGGATTACAGGTGTGCGCCACCACGCCCAGCTAATTTTTTGTATCTTTAGTAGAGACGAGGTTTCGCCATGTTGGCCAGGCTGGTCTCGAACTCCTGACCTCATGATCTGCCTGCCTCAGCCTCCCGAAGTGCTGGGATTACAGGGTGAGCCACTGGGCCAGGCCTCTTTCCCATACTTTTAAGAAATCAGGATTTGGCAGTTATTGCTAAGTTCAGCTTGCATAGCCCTTCTTGTATGAACTTAAAAAAATTTATGTTCACAGAGGTGGCTGTTTGTTAAAAGAAAAAAAAATTGAGTGTGTGTTTATTGCTCCCTCTTAGGTGACTATGTTTATGGTGGAGTCTATTACTCATTAAAGCTGTCTGTGCTGGTAGTTATTCATTTGACTTTTGATTATCTCAGTGAGGTTTATCCAATTTGGAACTTATATCCATAAAAAAATTCTTAATTTTGGCCAGGCGCGGTGGCTTACACCTGTAATCCCAGCACTTTGGGAGGCCGAGGTGAGCGGATTACGAGGCCAGGAGATTGAGACCATCCTAGCTAACATGGTGAAACTCCATCTCTACTAAAAATACAAAAAAAGAAAAAATTAGCCAGGCATGGTGGCGGGTGCCTGTAGTCTCACCTAATCGGGAGGCTGAGGCGGGAGAATGGAATGAACCCGGAAGGCGGAGCTTGCAGTGAGTCGAGATCGCGCCACTGCACTCCAGCCTGCCTGACAGACAGAGACTCTGTCTCAAAAAAAAAAAAAAAAAAAAATTCTTAATTTTCTGGGGTCCTTTTCCTGCCAATCAGTATATATTTAGGCTACCTCACCTACTACAAATTAATGTATATTTAGATAGTTTTAAGCAATTTTAGCATTAGATATAATTGAAAAGAAAGAAAATTGGCTGGGTGCAATGGCTCACGTCTGTAATCTCAGCACTTTGGGAGGCCGAGGTGGGCAGATCACTTGGGGTCAGGAGTTCGAGACCAGCCTGGCCAGCATGGTGAAACCCCATCTCTACTAAAAATACAAAAAACATTAGCCAGGTGTAGTGGCGCATGCCTGTAGTCTCAGCTACCTGGGAGGCTGAGACACGAGAATGGCCTGAACCTGGGAGGCAGAGGTTGCAGTGAGCCATGATAGAACCATCGTACTCCAGCCTAGGTGACAGAGCAAGACTCTGTCTCAAAAAAAAAAAAAAGAAAGAAAGAAAAAGCAAGAAAATTTACTTTTCCTTCCAATCATATAGAAATTGTTTTATTTTGTACTGTGTTTAAGCAATTGCCCTTGTGTATTCTTTTATTAATGTGAATTATCTAAAGTAGCCTAAATAAATGAAAATTTTGCCAGGTTTCAATAAAGCACTTTGCCATTGGTCCTTTTAGGAATGGAAGACATCGTAAAAGGAGCTCAAGAACTTGATAACATAATCAAGCAAGGATACTTGGAGAAGAAAAGCAAAGGTAATGGTCAGACCCATAGATTTCAGAACATTCCAGGAAAGGAAGGGAAGTGAGGAAAAAGAAAGCTAACACATTGGTTGCCTTCTCTGTGCCCGGTACTGTGCTAGGCAGATACAAGGCAAAAGTAATGCAAGGAAAGGAAAGGAATCTGGTGTTTGTGTGTAGGCTAAAGAGAGATGTCCCAGCCTTGAGCAGACCATAAGTTTCATCAAGATAGGGATGGTTATATCCTGCTCACCTCTCTATCCCCAGTGCCTGGTATGTGACAGGTGCTTAATAAAACTTATTGAATCAATGAATGGTGTTCTTGTCTTTATCTCTCAGTGTGCTCCCACTGGGTAGTTTTTATATCATATGTGAAGCAGCCTACTTTCAAATTTCAGACAAGCCCAACTCTTTTGTTTTTTGTTTTTGTTGTTGTTGTTGTTGTTTGAGACTGAGTCTCGCTCTGTAGTGCCGTGGGTATGATCCTGGCTCACTGCAACCTCCACCTCCTGGTTCAAGCGATTCTGCTGTCTCAGCCTCCCGAGTAGCTGGGACTACAGCTAATTTTTTGTATTTTTAGCAGAGATAGGATTTCATCATGTTGGCCAGGCTGGTCTTAAACTCCTGGCCTCAACTGATCTGCCTGCCTCAGTCTCCCAAAGTGCTGGGATTACAGGCATAAGCCACCACACCTGGCCTTTTTTATTTACTCATTATTTTTTTAAGATGGGATCTCCCTCTATTACCAAGGCTGGAATACAGCAGTACCATCATAGCTCACTGCAGCCTCCAATCCTGGCTCAAGCAATTGCTCCCACTTCAGCCTCTCAAAGAGCTGGGACAACAGGTGCACACAACTGTGCCTGGCTATTTTATTACTTTTTATGGAGACAAGGCCTCACTTTGTTGCCTAGGCTAGTCTCAAACTCCTGGCTTTAAGCATACCTTCCATCTCAGCCTCCCAAAGTGCTGGGATTACAGACCTGAGCCACCACTTCTGCCTTCAAACCCAACTCTTGACCTTTAACTCATTTAATTAGAATAGGTACCACTAGAGTTGGCATCTCAGGTTTAACACTCAACAGGCAAATTGGCTCAGCACAAAAAAAAAAAAAAAAAAAAAAAAAAAAGCTCTTTCATGGCCATGGCCTGGAGAATCATTTTTCTTTGTCAAAGGCAACACATAAAGATATAATGGAGAATTTGAAAATGTACAAGATGAGATAAGAACCCAAAAGATATAAAGGAGGCTAGATAAAAAGACAGCTGTGGGGCACAGAGCAGGCACCCCTGTTTAGAACTTGGACCTTTAACTGAGCTAGTCTCCTGGACCCTGAGTCAATATGGGATAACCTGTGGGAGTGAAAAGGAGGGTTTTACAGTCCATTGACCTGGGAAATAAAACAATAACACACTGGACTGTATGTTGTTGGATTTTACAGACTCTTCAGTGATGGTAGTTACCTGAATTTATGTCCCCTACTGCTGTTCTGTTTAGATCATAGTTTCTTTGGATCGGAGTGGCAGAAGCGATGGTGTGTTGTCAGCAGAGGTCTCTTCTACTACTATGCTAATGAGAAGAGTAAGTGTTCTTCATTTACACAGCAGCATCTCACTCCTGGATGCAAACACTTCATAAATTCTCAAGCACTTAGATCTCAAGATAGCAGTCCTTAACTAATACCCATAAAGGGACATGCTTAGGAAAGAAATAGGCATGGGCAAATAATACCTTGCCCATCACCGAAAAAGCAGAACCCAATTTAGAAATTATTTCACCTTTAAACACTAAGAGTGTGGTCAGCACATCAAAGGGTTATCTTTTATTGTGATTAGCGATACATTATCAAAGTTAAATGTTTTGATTTAAAAAATAGAAATAAAAAGAACTTCAAACTCTTTACAGGTATCAATACCATAGCTAAAATATTGAAATAAATTAATTCTGAGAAAGACTTAAAGAACTTAAACAATGGCCCAGAAATTGAACCCCCTAAGGGCATGCTCCCAGCTTTATCCTAATGACTACTAGGAAGTAAGTAGTCCAGTGAACATTCCTATAGCCATGGAATATTGAGACCCAAATGGTTGCTGTACCCAAGGCACGCCCTTCAGCCAGATGACAGCAGCAGTGAAGTGTTGACTCAGGCCAGAGATAGTTTCTTAATGAGCCACCACTGACTTAATCAAGTCAACACTCATGAGCTAACCCTAGAAGACTTCCCATCCATGTTTAACATAATTGATTGATTTATGAAAAGGAATAGAGGATATAAGCACAATAGGAGGCAATTACAAATAAATACAAGCTAAAAATTATTACTATAGATGAATGCAAACTTTCGAATAGGGGATACACTTCTACAGAGTTGGACTGCCCCAGGAGTAATTCTAAGAAACAAGAGGGAGACAAAGTTTAAAAAACGTCAATTCTTGGCTGGGCGCGGTGGCTCACGCCTGTAATCCCAGCACTTTGGGAGGCTGAGGTGGGCGGATCACAAGGTCAGGAGATGGAGACCATCCTGGCTAACACGGTGAAACCCCGTCTCTACTAAAAATACAAAAAATTAGCCAGGCGTGGTGATGAGCGCCTGTAGTCCCAGCTACTCAGGAGGCTAAGGCAGGAGAATGGCGTGAACCCGGGAGGCGGAGGTTGCAGTGAGCTGAGATCACACCACTGCACTGCAGCCTGGGTGACAGAGCAAGACTCTGTCTCAAAAAAAAAAAGCATCAATTCTTGTTGGGGCTTTCTTGTGCTGTGCACCTTCGAACAGAGGCCAGCGATACAGATTGAGTAGAGCCTTTTTTTTCCTTGCAGTCATTTTCTGTTTCTCTTTTCTTATTCCTTCCTCAAACTTAGTCCTCTCCCAGTGCCTGGATATCCTATGTAGGGAATAATCAGACACCCACCCAGTTGCCTTTGTACTTCCTGCACCTGCAGTACTAAGGTAGTAGAAAGAACTACAGCTTCGGGCCAGGCGCAGTGGCTCACGCCTGTAATCCCAGCACTTTGGGTGGCCAAGGCAGGCAGATCATGAGGTCAGGAGTTCAAGACCAACCTGGCCAACACAGTGAAACCCCGTCTCTACTACTAAAAATACAAAAATTAACCAGGCATGGTGGCAGGTGCCTGTAGGCTGAGACAGGAGAATCGCTTGAACCCAGGAGGTGGAGGTTGTAGTGAGTCGAGATCACGCCACTGCACTCCACCCTGGGCAACAGAACGAGACTCTTTCTTAAAACACTGAATCTTTGCTAAGTTACTTGAAATCCTTAAGATTTGCCCTTGGGCTTGGTAGCAATTGCCTCATGCTGCCTCCCTGCCTGCAGTAGTTATCACAGACCTTGCCTACCTTTCACCATCCTACATCCCTCAGAACCTTTCCCATCTAGGGGCAAAGGCTAAAGCCCTGTTTGGAAAGGATAACAGCATAGTTTGTAAACTGAGCTACAAGTCCCATGTGTCCTTCCAACCCCCAACCCGCTCTCAAACCCAGCAACCACAATTTCTCCTCTAAATTATAGGCATACAACCCAGCCAGTTGTTCTTTTCTTATTTTAAAACTTCAAACTAATATGCCATTTGTCACTGTAAATATGTTCATCATTTCTTTTGCATTTAAATAAGTGGTTGGCATATCTAGATATAAAACCAGGTGTGTCACATCTATTCATTCAGAATCTTCCATACTCACGGTGAGAGAGGAGGGGGGAGAGTAAGAGTAAGAGACTCAGAGGCTTTTATTGACCATTTTGCCATCAGGGTGAAATAAAATCTGGTGACCAAAGAAACAACAAAACATTTTAGTGGCCGGTTAGAACAAGGAGAGATACTTTAACAAAAAAGATTCTGGTGTCAAAAAGCACTGTTCCATGGCTCCCTTCTTGCCAGTTATTTCTTATTGTGCCCATGACATTTTCTTAGTAAGAATGGTGTTTGTGTATTTCTTTTAGCTCAACCAGGTGAGGACAGAGTCTTTTTTTCTTCTTCTTTCTTTTTTAATATTGTCAGCACACTGCCATCCTTCTCATCATTATCATCATCAAAAAGCATTTATTAAGCAATTCATTTATTAAGCAATTCATTTCACATGATATAGAGCTCAAAGCATCCCAGACACTGTGGTTCCTGTTCTCTATGTGTTCTGCCTGAACCTCACAATGACGACAAAAAATTCTTGAGAGCCACCTCCTCTTTTTCTGTTTCTAACACTTTTTTTTGGTAGTGACAAGCAGAATAGTCTCTTCACTTAGGGTCCTTTTCCTTTTGTCTCCTTCCTCGTCATCTAATAATACTCAACATTATTCTGCTACTTCTCAGGTTGACCTCTTACAAGGAGGATAAATACTGAGTTTTAATCATTCTCCCTCTAGCATAAATTCCCACCTGACCAGCAGGGAAGGGGGAGAGAAGTTTAGCCCAAATGCTACATAGGGCATGGGAGGCAATTCTGGGACCTTATAATGCCCCCCTGTGCTGCTGTCCCTCCCCTCAAATGTGAGCTCTGCTGGCCCTGATAATAATGTTTCAGCTCTATAATAGCCTTCAAGAGCCTCACATTTACAGCCACACTCTCCCTGCTGTAATAATTCCTTCTTTCTGTTATTATAGATCTCTTAACATTCTAATAAATTCTCTGTCTCTGTTGTACTCTTTTGGCAAAATAACCTTTCACGTTGCATTTCCCTAGCTTGGCAGTGATATCTGCCTTACTGTCGCAGTAGCCTCTTCTTAAGCTTCTCTAATAACCTTTCCTTGACTATTGTGGTTCCTCAGGGATGTAACAGCTGTTTCTGTGCTTTTATTTTACATACCAGAGAAGATGCCTTCCCTTGGCAGTTGCATCTCTCTAGGGATACAGGGAGCTTTCCTGTCTTGCAGGCAAGCAGCCCAAAGGGACCTTCCTCATTAAGGGCTACAGTGTTCGGATGGCCCCCCACCTGCGAAGAGATTCCAAGAAAGAATCCTGCTTTGAACTGACCTCCCAGGATAGGCGCAGCTATGAGGTAGGACGCACCGAGGAGATGGTGATCCTTGTTGGTGTTGCAGTTTCCTTTCATGTTGCATGTGAATCATGGTTGCTATGCTGGGTTCCAGCCTTTCTTTGTTACCTGCTCATTTCATACCAACTAAGACCCTATTTCTTGACATGTCTTCACATTTGCTATGCCACACCCTCCCCTCTGTTGCCACTCTCATCCTAGATACAGACTTTGCTTGGCTTCCATCCTTCATTCCTCCCCTTTTCAATTTCAATTCATAGGTGAGATGCTTGTCAGTTGCAGCACACGATCCAATTCCTTACTTATAGTCTCTGATTTTATGGTTTAAATTCCCATTCTCTTTATTTTTCAACTGATTTTCTTCACTTCCTCCCATAAAACCCAAAAAAAGAAGATCTAACTGTAGAGTGAAAAAAAAATTATTTTCCCATGTTCACCTTGCTATCCAAAATAATCTTCCTGTATGTAGATGCTTTGCATATCTCTGGAAGGATTTCTAAGGTATTGGTGACAATAGTTAGTAATAATAATAATTGAAGGACTAGAGGACCTGGTTGGGGCATGAAAGACTTATTCCTTACTATGCTCAGTTTGAATCTTTACCTCATTATAAAATTAATTTGTTTCATTTTATTTTTGCCATCTTCATCCTGAATGACCAATAAAATTTTAAAATTTCTGACTGTGGAAATATAGTGATTTTCACCAAAAATGTATGTTTGCATGTGTGTGTGTATTGTTTTCTGCTCTTTGGTAATGTTTATCTTATTACAATTTTATTAAAGCAATTTAGAAAAACTTTAGCTTATGAAAAAGGAAAACACCATACTAAGAGTAAATTAACCACTTAAATAACACTTTTAGTCTTCAGACTTTTCTCAGCATTCTTCTTTTTATTTCTACAGTATCTTAACTCTTATTTTGTTAAAGGACCTAGGTCTTCATTATGTAATTTCCAGAAATTTTTAAAAATTTGAATTAAAATTTTTTATAGAGTCCTTTATGAATATATATAAAATAGATCTATGCACTGAATATGTTCCTAGTTATTTTTATTATTATATTCTGATAGAAACACATCCAGATAAAAGTTTATGTAACAAGTCTAAACCAGTGTTTCTAGAAATGTTTTTATAGAAATTTGTTTTTAAGAAATCAAGAATAATAATGTCTATTAATAAGTATTATGCAGGAATCCAGTTTCTTTGTGTAGCAGATATCTTTACCTTACCCTAATGGTCAGATAATTAAAATATTTTTCAGGGACAATTATTTCAAGTTGATTCATTTAAAATAAAAAACTTACTAAGGGCTGATGCTTGACTGGCCTATTTTGTAAATCAGAATGTATTTACTTCTTTTCTTTGGCCTATTGAATCCAAATCATTACCATGGTCCATGGATTCTTCTTCTACAATATCCTTCGGCTCTTTCCCTTCTTATTTATTCCCACAGCTATCACAATGGTTAAGTTCTTGTCACTTCATCCAGAGGACCAGTTGGTCTTCTATCTCCAGATTTCTCTATTCCAATCCTTCGTACTCACAGCTATTGAAAGAATCCCCCACTCCCTTTGCTAGAGCTGATAGTGGCTTCCCGTTGCCTACATTTTACCTCTGAGCTCCTAGTACTCAGAGCCCTTTTACCAACTCTTCTCTGACCCTCAACTCTCCAACTTCATCTGTTATTGTTCTCCAGTCAAACTGATCTGCCAGCCTTCCCCATAAGTCATATTCTCATTCCTGTTCTTTTGCACATGGGCCTCCCTACCTAAAATGTCCAACTCTGTCCACCAGTTTCCACCAACTCTTCTTTAAAATCCAACCAAAATGGTATTATTTTAGCAAGCCACTCTGACCCACTCTAGGCAACAATAGGTGCTCCCGGTCTCCTCTTGATATCCAGTTGTTACCAAATGTGCCTCCTTTGTAGTGTTCCCGTTTCGTGTGTGTGGGTTGGTTTGCTTCTTTTTCTTGTAAATTTTTCTCAAATAAATGCCTGATGAAGGAATAGATAATCAAATGAAAGAATGCACATGGACATGAATGTCTGGACTCAAAAAGCTGTCATCTCTGGATATGCAAAATTGCACAAGGAAAAAATCAGTTTGAGTGAAATATTTGGTCTTCTTTCTGTATGTTAATCAGGCAGAGAATCCTGAGCTTTAAACTTGACTCTGAAACTCAGTGGTTCCTCCCCCTTAGACATCCCTGTCAAGATTCATGGAAATTTTAGTGACAGTGATAAATTAATTCACTGATTTTTCTGTAGTTTACAGCTACTAGTCCAGCAGAAGCCAGAGACTGGGTGGATCAAATAAGTTTCTTGTTAAAAGGTAAGTGTCACTGTTACAGAAATTATACTTGAGTTCATTTGCAGCTGAAGTTATGTTGCATAAATATAATCTATAGACTTCAGTATGTATTTTTTCTGCCCTTTCTCACCTCTGCCTTTCCTACCACATTCCCCATATTACAACAACAGATAGTACTATGTGTGAATGAGAAGGTAAAGATGGTATCAACCTTGGGAGGACCTCTGGTATCATAGCTCATCCACCTACCTACAGGCAAGTCTGTAATATTCAAAATCACTAGACAAGAAGATTCTAAAAATCAGCTCAGCCCAATTCAGTGTCTCCTAACCCCTTATATTCTGGAAAGGAAATTCATAATATCCAACTTAAAGTCATCTAGTTGCAATTGAGGTTCAAAATCTTCTTATTTTAGTCTTAGGAGGAAGTAGAAATCTAAACCAATCTAGATGGTCTTCAGAGACATTGGACATTAAAAACAAATTGCTATTTCCCAAGCCGCAATAAGATGTTCCTTGCTTTGGGGTGGGAAGAGTCCTGCCTGAAGATGGTAAATGACTGCTCTTAGAGTACCCTCTGCTGGCCAGCCTGTAGGCAAAGCAGAAACAGTGGCCAGGGAAGCCTTATCTGGGAGTGGCCTGTCAGGTAGAAGAAGCCAACCTTGAGTGAGTCACTTGGTATTAGATAATCCTTACCTACCATCATGGCAGGACCCTACCTCTGTTCTGCAGAAAGGCAGAAACACCAACTTTATACATGGCCCAAGACCTAGAAAGACACACGTCAACCTAAAAATGCCAAGCCTTTTCATCTCAGTGTTTTATTCTGCTATAAGATTTTATTGTGGATAAAAAGAAGGAAGCACCAGAGCTTTAATTACAAGAATTGCCTGTTTTACTCAGTTATGCCTTTGCTATCACAAAAACAAACTATTGCATCTACCAACAGCATCACGTATAATAGACTGGAACTAGGCAAACATGAACATTGATGGCGAGACTACAGGGTACACTCTCATCTAGGTGCCTTGGATTTATGCGTGTAATATACCCCTAAGTGTGTAAACCTCAATAAAACTCAAAGCAGCTTTATTGAGCTGTACCCTGTGGTACTTTCAGAATCCCACATTGAAGAAATTATTCATTCCATTTTATTTTAAAACAAACAAAATAATAACATATGGTTTAAGCCACAAATGTGTTTTTGATCTTTTCCTCTTATGTGGTGGCACCAAAATTCAGATGAAAATTGTTGCAAAATCTTTATTAAAAGCATAATCAAGCCAAACAGTTTTATTGCATTTTGAAATGAACGTTGGACGTCTCTCCATCCTTTCCTTCCCCAGAGTAGGCTGACTGCAATCGCCCATCCTACAGAGGGCCCTCAGCAGGGTTTCAGAGAGCACTTTGTAGTACACATCAGAGAATGAACATACCCAGTTCCCCATTAAAATAAAAAACCAATCTCCCTCTCCTGCCCTGGTGCTCCCCAGTGCTGTAATGGCTCAACACCTTCTATGCAGTGACCCACTTTAAGGTCAGCTAGACTGTGCAGTTGCAAAAGGACATGGTAACTGCATTGTTCAGCCATTCTATTTGGTCTTGTATTACTGTTATATTTTTCCATACCCCATTTCTTTTTCTCATCCACTGTTGCCCATTTTTTTCTCTGCAAACAAATTTGTCTGAAATTCTGCAGTGAAATCACTGGGGATATGAGCTTCTGACAGCTCCAACACCCTACAGAGGCCACCTTAGTTCCCATGGCCTGAGCACCCTGGAGGACTGCAAGCCTTCACTCACCCTTCCAGTTTTCTACTTGATGAGCTGTGTGCAGCACACTGGCTTTTCAACTCTTCTGGCCTATTTTCTTCCATTCGCCTCCTGTTCTCATTCACACACCCATACTTTTCAGGCTGCTTCACCCTGATCAAGTTTTATTGCAAGGAAGGATTTATGCTGATGGTTTAAACTTGATGCAGTGCTATTCCGGCCTTTTCTGTAGATTTCCTGCCACCAAAGCCCACATTAGACATAATAGCATTTAACCTGGTGTTTCATTTTCTTTTGACATATTTTACTCTCATCCCTCCTCCTCCTCCTCCCTCTTTCCTTTCCTGTCTTATTATTTTCTTTTTCTCTGTTTCTTGATTCATTCTCATCTTTGCCCTGGCAGATCTGAGCTCCTTAACCATTCCATATGAAGAGGACGAGGAGGAAGAAGAAAAAGAAGAGACATATGATGATATTGATGGTTTTGACTCCCCAAGTTCTGGTTCCCAGTGCAGACCCACTATCTTGCCTGGGAGTGTGGGGATAAAAGAGCCTACAGAGGAGAAAGAAGAAGAAGATATTTATGAAGTCTTGCCAGGTGAGAAATTTTGTCCTCTGTTTATCTTCTGCTAGTTTTGGAAACTCATGACCTGGAGGAAGAATAATAACTTTGAAAATTCCAAAAGAAGCCAAATCAAACCTTCATCCTCTGAAGGAGATAATGTGGGAAGCTTTATGAGATTGTAGGGAAGCGGGTAATGAGGCTCTGCCTTGCCATGGGAGCAAGAAGAATTTGATTAGAGAGTGTCTTCTATCCATGCCATGTGAAGTAACTTATCACATGTGTCCACCAGGTTAAAGAGTCAAGAATACTTACATTGGTTTTTATTGGTTTATTGTGAGTTTTGGGATGAGTCATCAAAATTCTCTAGTTTCAACTTTTTGGTGTGTAGTTGTAAGAATAAGGAAAATTGCTTCAAAATTATGAAGGATTTCAAAACTCTGAAATATGTAAATGCTGACAAATCTTTTAGTAATACCTTGATAGACCAAACCTTGATAGTAAACCTTGATAGAGAACAACTCATTATTACCTAGTTCAGATATACCATGAGTTAAATCACATCTCTTAAAAATAACCCTAACATGTTTTATCTGCTCATCATTACAGCAGGTCTACTTTATATATTTCCTTTCTTCCAAAGGCATGAAAACTAGCATCTCAAAACATGTATAGTCATCACTGCTTCTGCATAGCCATGTCTGGTGGGGATAACAGCAGCTGGTGAACGGTGCAGAGCTCAGTGGGGGTCAGACGGTGGAGAACCAAAGCCTGAGCCTTTTAATTGTGAAGTAGTTAGACCACAGGAACACTAATCTTCAAGTCCATTCAGAAAGATCATTCCTATGGAAATTTGCCAGGAGTTCAGTGCTCTGCGGAGAAATTCAAGTTAAGCTTAAATTTATAGCAATTTAGATCCCAGATGAACCCAGATGAACCTCAATCCCAGATGAACCTAAGAACTAAGGTGAATCTAACACTCAGGTCCCTGAAGACAGGGCTGGTTGCTGAAAGCATAATCAGTAAGCAACTTGCATTTCAAGGCTTCCTAAGAAGAGCATCCAACCCTCACCACACTACATTCATCTCTTCCTGGGGAAGAAGCTACGTCATTGCTTCCTGAGTCAAGGGGCAGGACCGTGGCCATATGTCCCTGCCCTGCTAGGGACTTCACCCACCCACCAAGGAGAGCCTGCTTCTTCTCCTAGCACTTCCAGCCTCTGCCAGTCCTGACTTCTCCAGCCTTTTTGTTGTGTTTTATTATGCAAATGATATCTTGGTTGAGGTCGAGCCATTTCTTGTGTCTGACGTTAAAAAAAATGATAATTTCCTCAGCAAGTCATCGTCGTTAATGAAGTTTTACAAAAACAGATACAACCAAAGGAAAATAAAATTTCACAGGTGATAAATTTTTCCAATTTCCCTGGCAGAATTCGATAGGATTGTTAAATTAAGAGTGAAGGTGTCTGTTAGAAAGCAACGAGCAGTGATGGGTAATTTTATAGAGTGGAAAATTGAATCAAATTGCTACATTAAAACACAGCTCCTCTGAGAATCTTCCCTTTCACAGTTGGCTCCATTGCAACAGCAGGGTGCAGAAATGGATCTAATTCACAGTACTCTCTAAAAGGAGATGCACTCCCCAACTTGGCCAGAATCTTCTTAGTGAGCTCACATTCTGCTCACTCCTGCCCAGGCTTGGGGAAATATCTGGGTGACACTCCACTTTGGGTTACAACTGTGGAAGAGTGCTCTGGGAAAACCTCAGTGAACTTTCTGGGGTGGAAAGAAAGGGCCTTTTTCTGCACCATGTTTCGTTTTCAAAGGAGCCAGGAAGGAGGGGGCTGATGCTCAGAGATGCAGAGCAAAGGAGAATAAAAAGAGGTCTCAAAAAATAAGATGAGTTTGGGACTGTCACCTTACCCCAGGAGTGGGCAGTGAAGGTATGATTGGCTTCCTAATGACCATCTTTCTCCTGCCTCCTAAACTCCTCCCCTTGGCCAATGCAGCACTGCCCAGAGTATCAGGGCATTTTTCCAAAATTCCCACCAGCTGGTATGTTGGAGTGGCCCCAAGGGCCTGGTCTGTGGGTGCATTTAACCTCTATCCACAACAGCTGCCCATCGGAAGTGAGGATGGCCACACAGTAGGAAATCCAGGATCTCTTTCTGCAGATTAGGGAAACAACAGCTAAATTGCACCCAGTTTCCAAAGGAGAACACTGTACCCAGGCAACAGGTTCTTTCCCGTAAGCCTCTGTCCATCACAGTTCCTAGAGACAGAGTTGGAGGTGGGATATATTGGCATTTAATTATGATATGAATATTTCAGCCGCAAGTTTCCATCACCCAGTTTCCTGTCCACTCCACTCAGCTGTTGCTTCTGAACTTGCTATTTGAATTTTGCGTAGTGCCACACCTGGAGAAATTGAGAAGGGAATGTGAGGGGGCCTAACACTGTCTCCCTTCTGCTACCCTCTCATAAGACCACCTACCAAGCAGTGGCACATGAGACAGCAATGGTATCCTAGGCACAGATACTGACCCTAAATCAGGATGGATTTGCTCTGCCACCTGCTAGCTGTGAGACCTTGAGCAAGTTACTTGCCCTCTCTCTGTCTGATTGTATTACCTGTAAAACAGGGAAAACAATAGTAGCTGTCTCAGAGGGATGTGGTGAGGAGTCTAAAACTGACATGTGTAAAGTTCTTAGCACAGAGCCCTGGCAAACAATGGCATACAGTGAGTACTCAGTAAATGCTGGCTGTTATTAATGTGATGGTGTTTAACCAGGAAGTGTTACCTCCTTGAAGAACTGGGGATGGTTAGGTCCCCACCCTCTCGAACCAGACCCAAGACAGTCCCGTTGGTTATTTCCAGCTATGTGTATGGAGCAGGTGAAATTGAAAATCCTGAGCAGATGGAATGTGAAGTGCACCTTCTGCTCAGGCCCATTTTTACTGCAAGGCCAGGTGCTGGGTGGAGGCACAGCCTACAGTACCGTTGGATTGTGCTAACATTGCATACCCCTCAAGAGTCAAATGACGTGGGCCTCTAACATTTGTTTCATTATAACAGGTAAAAGTGCTTTGTGGAGGATATTTAACATTGACGGTTCTGCTAATCCTCCCTTTTGGAATGGGTCCCACACAAGCCCTCACTGTCTCTATAGGGAAAGCCATGTAAGTGAGACCTTCCTTCCAGAGTATAATTTAGATGGGCTTCCTAATAGGGAGAAAAGTGTATGTAACGCATACCAAGTCAATAAAAAATGTTTTTTTGTAATCAAAATAATGTATGGGTCATCACATTAAACTCACTCCATCACATTAATCATGAGATAATTAGCATTTGCTACATGGCTAGCACTCTTCTCCCCGTGAGGGAAAACCAGAGCACTCAAGGTTTTCAGCCAGGCCACAAAAACGTTAGTCCTGGAAAATATGGTTTCAAGGTTGGTATCTGGTGGGATTTCTGAACATCCGTGTTGAGCATATGCAGGCCCTTGATTTTTTTAGGATCTCATTTGCAGTAGATTAAACTGCAGGGAACCACCACAAAGAAATGCTAAAGCAATATGTAGAAAATGGGAGGCTTTTCTGAGCCCTCTCTCACCACCACCACCACCCCCGAAGTTATTTTACAGGCCAGCATAGGCCCAGCTCCATGATTCAAGATTCCATAAAAGGACAACTTTTATCAGGTTTCTCTTTGTCTGGAGTCTCAAGGCTGGGATCCAGCAAGACGTCTGAGACCACTGAAGTGCTGTAACTGGGGCCTTGTAGCAGCTGCAATGGCAACAGAATCCGGCTGTGTTCTCTAGAGAGATTTCAGAAGAGCAAATGGAAAGAGAGATGAAGAGCCCTCTTTGGGAATTTCTGTGCACATTCCAATGCTGCCCACACTGCCCCAGGGTGTTGTTATAGACCTAGAAACCAGATTGCTTTAAAATAAAGCATATAACTGAGTTTTTAAAATTTTGAGTCAAAAGGAAACAAACATTCTGTGGAATTATTTTTCCCCCTGTACTGTTGTTCAGACCCACAGGAAGGGGGAACAGTGAAGATAAGAAGTCTAAGGAAATGAAACAAAATGGAGACCAAAAATACAAAGTTTATGAAGAAAGAGCATCAGGGAAGAGTCAACACCATCATCAGGCCTCCTCTGAACTTCTGGCCTTTTCTCTCTCTTACTCCCATGTCCACTGAGCCCAAGTCACACAGTGCTGCTTGGTCAGCACCAAAACTAGAATCATGTTGTTTCTTCTACCTAGACCATCCCCCGATTTCAGCCTGTGAAATCGTACACATTCTGCTCAAATATGTCTCCTCAGTGACACCTTCCCAGATACTCAACTGGAATTAAGCTTTGTTTTAGCCCTCACCAGTGATTTGTATTCAGGTCTTTCTCCCTAATTAGTAGATGCTTAGGTATTATTTGTGAAGTTAAATTCAGTGCATTTCAAGTGTTGCAGATGGCACAAATTGAGTTTAATATCTTATACATCAAGCCCATATCACTGAAATATGATGCAAATATTTTGAGGTAACAGTTAAGATAACCAAATACACAACAGAGAATTAAATGTGTTATTAGCATCTTGCTTGTATTTTCCATGTAGTCTGACGAGGTGCTATACATCCGTGGATTTATAACATACCTGTGCATGCCGGGGAGCAGTTTATTTCTAGTTTTCTGCATGTCCCCTTTGCACCTTGAGTCTATCTGTATTTCTGTTGCATCTGTCACCAGAGCACCTTGACATCTGGTTGCACATTGACACAGTTGGCATTTTTTGAAGCTTTTGTCACTTTCTTTGTTTGGGGAAGTAAGTGATTTCTCCTCTTTCTGATTTAGTCATTTTTTCCTAATGTTATTCTTTCTGATATCAGTGTAGCCGATGTCAGAGGAATGTCAGAGTAGCACTTCAAAAAACAGCCAGGTGTCATGAGAAGCTGCTGGCTCCTCTCTGTCCCTCTGAGGTGGATTCAGTGTCCTATTCCTCTCAACCTCTCATTAGTGTCCCTGACATTGTGCCAAGAATGTTGATTGAAATCGACTCTCCGGATACTGATGCTCATTTGTGATGCCCTGTGGTTCTCTTACATGTTCGCACAGTTAACAGAATCTTCTTCAACTGTTTTCCCAATTGAGATGAGATATTTGGGGATCAAATAGAGCATTTAATGTGATAAGTGGACAGTAATCTTTAGAGGTTAATTTGTTTAAAACCTATGTAAGGTTGGGGTCCCATATGCCCTGTTAGGAGCAAGGACCATTATAATCCATTACTGTTTAAAGTTGAGCTAGCACATAAATTTTAATTCACTCTTAAATGAAGATATATTTCAGTAGATATAATGCTGAAATGCCTAATAATATTCTTATAAAGAAATTCAACAAGCTCTTTAGCCTAAAAAATATTTTTTCAAAATAGTCTCTTAAAATTAAAGTATCACATTACAGATTAATAAAAATGAAAACTTTAGCTACTTAACCCACCCCTTTTTGTGAGCAACAAGACTTTTTTTCTGTTGCCATATAATAGTTGTCTTTGACTCTGGAGTTGGAAAGACACCTGTTCAGTCTCATGGAAAGATCTGAGATAACTTGTATGCCTGTTTGTATTGTGCCCTCTGAACCTAGGGAGGTGTCTAGGGGTGTAATTTTCACAACCAGCTGTGAATGGTGCTTTCCTTCACTATGCGATAGTGCCCCCTACCCAATCTTCCAAAGACCCCAGAGGCATAGCACCAAGCCCATCAATGGGAAGTCTTCTTGATTTGAGCCTACTTTTAGCCACCTGGGAAGAACAGTGTTAGATAAAACAGATGTGGGGATTGGAGCTTCCCCATTTACATCCATCATCGTAGAGCTTAGTAATGGCGGTGAATGATATAAAAGCTCTATAGCCAATGTTTTTTTTTCTTTCTAGTTGATTCCAAAAGTGCGGTGGAAATCAAGAGTATCTGGTCTGGAACTGAACTGCATAGAACACATTTCTATTGTTCCATCTTTGTATTATGACTAGATTAAGTGCTGTTGCCCGAAAGAATAAAGGAATCAAGTTTTAGTTTTCATTTTTATCATTGCAAATACATTTACATTCTCCTATTTTACAAATGCAAAGAGCAGGCAGGCCACTTTCAATAATTTATTTTAAAATCAATGCTAATGAGGTTATGTCTCGTCAGTAGCCGAGTTTTACAATAAAGTCTGATTTATTTAGAAAAGATCTTTGGTGAAGCTTCCCATCTAATGGCGGTGGGAAGGAGGTGGAGTAGCAGCACTGTGACCCTCCAACTTCGGATCCAATTTGTAATTCACAGTGGAGATCTGACCCAATTTACATTGATTAGAATTGGGAGGAAGAGACAGCTGCGCACAGACAGCAGCGGTAGAATAAACCCTCTCTGCAAAAGTGCCTAAGCACAGCAAATTATTGGTCTTTGTGATGGAGTTGTTTGATATCAACAAAGGAGCTGCTCTCTGTCCAAATTATTAGGTATCTCTAAAACTGAGGATGTACCAACTTTTCCTCTAATGTTTCCAATCCTAAAATTAGTCCCATGTCAAAGGAAACGCATCATAGCCAAGAAAGGAAGGAAGTGGACGAGTAATGAGAAGACAATGTGCAAAGAATATTTAATGTGGTTTATTTCAGCATGATCTGTTTCTTATATTTGATTTCACTCCTCAATTAGCTTAGGTTGTTTTATTCCTCATGGTAGGGTTGAGGGAGCACTACAGGTGGCAAGTAGAACATTCTCTGCTGCTAGATCATACATGGCTATAAGAACTGTTGAGTCAAAGTGCTCCTTCTCCTACTATATTGTAGGGAAAAAATGTATATATTTTATTTCCCAGAGTATCAGTCTTTTTTTTTTTTTAAGAGACAAAGTCTCACTCTGTTGCCCAGGCCCAGGCTGGACTGCAGTGGTGCAATCAGCCTCAAACACCTGAGCTCAGGCAATCCTCCTGCCTCAGTCTCCCAAGTAGCTGGAACTACAGGTGTGCACCACTGTGCCTAGCTAATTTTTATTTTTATTTTTTATAGAGACAGGGTTTTGCTCTGTTGTCTACGCTGGTCTCTAACTCTTGGGCTCAAGTGATCCTCCCATCTCAGCCTACCAGAGTGCTGGGATTGCAGGCGTGAGCCACCACAACTGGCCGTATCAGTCTCTTTCTTACTTGAAATCAATTACTCCTTTAATGCTTTATAGTATTCTAACATATTTTTATGCTGCTCCTTCTTACCTATGAGCTTGGAGCTTACTTCCCCAGTTTGACACACTGGAACTCATATTGCCCTATAAACATTACATTTAAAAAGAGAAAGAGAAATATCAAAGATTCATTTAGTGGCAAAACTATGGAGAAGCAAGACAAGCAAATGTCGTTAAGACTCAGGAGAAGGGCCAGGCGCGGTGGCTCAAGCCTGTAATCCCAGCACTTTGGGAGGCCGAGGCGGGCAGATCACGCGGTCAGGAGATCGAGACCATCCTGGCTAACACGGTGAAACCCCATCTCTACTAAAAAATACAAAAAACTAGCCGGGCGAGGTGGCGGGCGCCTGTAGTCCCAGCTACTCGGGAGGCTGAGGCAGGAGAATGGCGTAAACCCGGGAGGCGGAGCTTGCAGTGAGCCGAGATCCGGCCACTGCACTCCAGCCTGGGCAGCAGAGCGAGACTCCATCTCAAAAAAAAAAAAGACTCAGGAGAAAAGAAAGTAAATGTAGCCAGGAGGAGCTGAGTATTGAGCCCTCAAAACATTGCTTATTATACCCTATCTACTGTGCACATGTGTGTATATATGTATGAGTGAGAGAGTGGGAAAAGAGCATGGTGGTAGTGAAAAGAATAGCAAGTGTATTTTTCTTCACTTTGTCCCATGTATAAAATAGCTAAATATGATTCTGGTACACATATTTACTTTATAAAGGCCCAATTCCTATTTTATCAGGTAATGTTATGAGATGAAATCGGTTAATGGGATTAAGAAACGTAGGCCAATTATGTTATGACTTTGACCGTATAAACATTTGACTGGACACTGGCATTGACTTAGAACCCATTGTGAATCTACGGCAGTTAATTAAAAGACCATTCCAGCTACCCTCAGGAGCTTATACTCTAATGAACAAGGCAGGCTGAATAAAAACAGTAAAAAGATAACTACAAGCCCCAAGTACTAGGAACATAAAATTATGTACATGACCAGCCTCCATTACAGCTGAACAAAGATGGATACATTAAGGATTAAGGACTAATTAATCAAAGAGGGTTTTTTTGTTTTTTCCCAGGGACAGAGTCTTGTTCTGTCACTGAGGCTGGAGTGCAGTGGCAAAATCTCGGCTCACTGCAACCTCTGCCTCCTGGGTTCAAGCAATTCTCCTGCCTCAGCCTCCTGAGTAGCCGGGATTACAGCCGCCCGCCACCGCGCCCGGCTAATTTTTGTATTTTTAGTACAGACAGGGTTTCACCCTGTTGGCCAGGCTGGTCTCAACTCCTGACCTCATGATCCGCCCGCCTTGGCCTCCCAAAGTGTTGGGATTACAGGCATGAGCCATCGCACCCAGCCAGTCACAGAGGGTTGTTCACACACACACACACACACACGCACACACTCTAACATCCTAACTCTGGAGTGCTTAAAACCGGAGAGAATGCTTTCATAGAGATAATAATTTTGAAGAGAATTCCAGAGAGAAGGAGAAATGGAGTTTGAGGAAAAGGATTAGGATTCCGGTGATAGACATCTGAATAATCCAATGGACTGGAAGCTCCACAATGGCAGGAACTCTGACAGTCTTGTTTATTGCTTGTCCCCAGTTCCTAGTGCGGTGTCTTGCATGTAATAAGCACTTCAACATGCTTATGAATAAATGAAAGGGAAGGGAAGGAGAGGGCCAGTTTGAAGGTGACAAATTAATACTGTTTTTTTTTAAGAACACAGTAGGCCGGGCGCGGTGCCTCACGCCTGTAATCCCAGCACTTTGGGAGGCCGAGGTGGGCAGATCACAAGATCAGGAGATCGAGACCATCCTGGCTAACACGGTGAAATCCCGTCTGTACTAAAAATACAGAAAATTAGCTAGGTGTCCCAGCTAATCGGAAGGCTGAGGCAGGAGAATGGTGTGAACCCAGGAGGCGGAGCTTGCAGAGAGCAGAGATTGCACCACTGCACTCCAGCCTGGGCGACAGAGCGAGACTCTGTCTCAAAAAAAAAAAAAAGAACACAGTAATTGCCAGGCGCGGTGGCTCACACCTGTAATCCCAGCACTTTGGGAGGCCAAGGTGGGCAGATCATCTGAGGTCAGGAGTTCGAGACCAGCATGACCAACATGGAGAAACCCTATCTCTACTAAAGATACAAAATTAGTTGGGCATGATGGTGTGAGCCTGTAATCCCAGCTACTCGGGAGGCTGAGGCAGGAGAATCACTTGAACCCGGAAGGCGGAGGTTGCAGTGAGCTGAGATCGCGCCATTGCACTCCAGCCTGGGCAACAAAGAGTGAAACTCTGTCTCACAAAAAAGAAAAAAAAAAAAAGAACACAGTAATTAAACTTTCCTTAAAAAAGAGAGTATGATGAGCTCAGAGAAAGGGAACCTCTCCATATAAAGAACGTGAGACTGGCTGGATGCAGTAGCTGACACCTGTAATCCCAATACTTTGGGAGGCCAAGGAGGGCAGATCACCTGAGGCCAGGAGTTCTAGACCAGCCTGGCCAACATAGCAAAACCCCGTCTCTACTAAAAATACAAAAATTAGCCTGGCATAATGGTAGGCACCTGTACTCCTAGCTCCTCAGGGGACTGAAGCAGGAGAATCCCTTGAACCCCGAATGTGGAATTTGCAGTGAGCCAAAATCGTTCCACTGCACTCCAGCCTGGGCAACAGAGCAAGACTCTATCTCAAAAAAAAAAAAAAAAAAAAATGAGACTGTGAACCACTAATTGCTAATACTGATCATTTATCCCCCCAGATGAAGAGCATGATCTAGAAGAGGATGAGAGTGGCACTCGACGAAAAGGAGGTATAAGAGCTTCTAAATGCACAGGCACTGGGTAGGACATTATGGGGTTCTGATTAGAGAAAGCACCTTTCTCTGAGACTATAAAAATTACTGGACTCAATAATTAAGAGGGTATCTGTGTGTGAACCCCAAAGCCCCAAATAAAGTGACTGGGAAATACCTAAACTTTAAAAGCAGCCATCCATTCACTTTAATTAATGTTCCCAGAACAACCAAGATTTATCTTAGAGAGGGTGGGAAGCCAAACCAGATATTTATTTTTTCCTATCAGTATTTCTTAAATCAGTACAGTGAAAATAGAATTGCCTCATCTCTAAGAGATCAGAGGATTGAGAACGGAAAGAATGGAAATGTCTCCTCTCTGAGAGGCCCGGAGATTGCAAGTTCAGAGGGGAATGGAAATGTGTCAGATCTGAAAAGTGAACACGGGGTGAAAGATAGAATTGCTTGGTGATGCTGACTTCTGATGGCCTGGTTTGATTCCAGGCACATTTGGAAATGAATATGTAACAGGTTTGTTGAATATAAAATTACATCTTATTCATCCCAGACTGTTAGCCATGCTTCAGGCTGTTAGTGAGCCCATCCTTTCAAAGGTCAGATGCCCCTCTGAAGCCTCCTTAAGTGGACCCAGGACCTAGTCCATGGTTGTCAGTAAAGGAATGCTGCACATTGCAAGGGCCACCTCAAGGACATTCATTCCATCAGCAGAGCCCTAATCATGACTGATTTAGATACTGGCTGATATTTTTCTTAGGGAGTCTATGAAAATCTTAAGCCTAGGAATTCTTGCCCTCTTTCCCTCCCTGCTCCTTCTCCATTATCTGGCCCTGTCTTTTCCCATTCTCCTCTCTCCTTTCCTTGTGCTTTTTCTTCTCTTCCTTATCCATCCAGCAAAACCCCCATTTCTAGGTTCATTCTCTACAGAAAGTGAATACTTAAAAGGTTCAGGACTCAACTTCCTAAGAGTCCAGCTTCTCCCAGGGAAGAGAAGAGACAACAAAGATGCAGCCTCAGAAGTCATGTGCCAAAGCAGGAGAGAAAGAAAGCAGGAGAGGCGGGTATGGAAGTATGTGAGTGTAGCTGCAAGTACCTCATGATAACGAACACATGTGATTAGGTCCATTCTGAAACCTGTTTCCTTCTGTTGTCTACTTACTGTACAGAATTCCAAATGAAAATCTGTTCTGACCCACCCATGTTCCACATATATCTTTTCTCAACCAACTTCTATCACCAGTGCAGAAAAGAAACGCTTTATGTGGACAGCTTGGGTGGAGTAACTGTAAGCTTCCTATGGCCAATTTCATATTAAACTCCGTTCAGGAAGCATCGGTCTTTTAGCACAGTCTAGAATCCAGTTTCAGATTCCTCCCTCATCTCATTTCCTCCTTCCACCTCTTTCTCTAAGGTTATATCTGGGAGGTGAAAGAAGCCTTATTTCTTAACTGTTCCTACAACTATAATTCAAATAGGTTTAAAAAAAAAAAAACCCTTTTGTTCCTCATGCTTCCTGCCTCCAAAACAAGTGTTGTTAAAGTATAGCAAGCTTTGCATATGCTTCTATGGTTTACACTTCCCACCAGTTATGATTGGTGACTTAGTGATTAAAAAACAGGAGGACTTTTTGCTCTCTCTGCAGAATCTGAGGCAGGAATTTTTATTATTTGTGTTTACTTATTTATCGATTGGTTTTATGTAGTGCCTTATATCCAAAGGCGCTATAGAAATGGTGAAATATATATAAATCCAAATGTCATCATTTAGTTTTGTAACAATAAAAGATAGAGGTCTGGGGGAAGGGCAGGCAGCCCCAGTGAAGGCATTTAAAAGGCAGGGAGCTCTAGGACAGTGTGAATTCCTATGTCATAGACTAGCTACACAAGTTTGGGCTACTTAGTTTTTCTCAGGTGCGTGTTTTTTTGTTTGTTTGTTTGTTTTTTGAGACAGAGTCTCGCTCTGTTGCCCAGGCTGGAGTGCAGTGGCGCTATTTCTGCTCACTGCAACCTCCGCCTCCCGGGTTCAAGTGATTCTTCTGCCTCTACTTCCCGAGTAGCTGGGATTACAGCCACGTGCCACCACGCCTGGCTAACTTTTGTACTTTTAGTAGAGACGGGGTTTCACCATACTGGCCAGGCTGGTCTGGAACTCTTGACCTCAGGCGATCCGACCGTCTTGGCCTCCCAAAGTGCTGGGATTACAGGCATGAACCACCGTGACCAGCCTTTTCTCAGGTGTTAACATGCTTTTGGGGAGAAAAAAAAATTTAAGCAACCTGACCTTTCCCTTCTTCGTTTTTTCCCAAAAGATGCTATGGCTAGCAGAGTTACTTTTAAAATCCAAGTACTTTTCTCCAGCCTCGATGGATCCTGTTCCTTGAATGCTGTGCTTTTTTCCCTGATGGAATTGCTAACATTCTTAAGGCCCAACTAGATCTTATCAGAATAGTGGGGGAAGGGATTCAGTTCATCCTTATTGAGTGTTAATGACCCTGTAAGATGTAATTTCTTTTATTTCATTCTGTTACCTAGAAAATCTATCACAGCCTTGTAGTATTGATTGCTCAATCTATAAAGAGCTCAGTTTACAGCATAACTGTTAGTAACAGGGTTATTTTAATGAGTGACTCTTCAACACCTCAGAGTTTCACTAAATTCCAACCCATCAGCCCAATAGTCTAACACTAAGGGTCTTAGGTAATGAGTTTATCACCTTTCCTTATCATGAAAAGGTAACCTCCAGGTAACCAAAAATGAAACTTCCTCTGTGTTCGTTTTTATAAAAATTACTGGCCATTTGTTTGTGTGTGCTATGTCAAATAAAAAGCAACCCTGGAGGCACAAATTATCCTTAGATACATAAAATCCTTGACCAAGGAAAACCTGAAACAGACCCCTCCCACCCTACCTCCCTCAGTCTGCCCCCAACCCCAACTCTGAAATTGGGGGCACACTAAGCCAAAAGTAGACATAGATCACACTATTGTGGTCTTATAAGCAAATGATTGCTTTCAGGAGGGCCAAAAAATGGTTGCTTATACCACTCCATCTTTGAGGCCCTCTTCTCACTTTAGGCTTACCAATGGAGTGAACTACTACATGAAAGAAACAAAGGGAAACCACAGAGGTGTTTGCAGCTCTTACCTTTTGAAGCCTGTTTTCCAAGACCAAACATGAGCTGATTATCAACCAGCTAAAATTTTGGCCCAATGAAAAGAGTAAATGACATGAAAATCAGAATCTGAGTGTACTCCACTTCCAAATCATACTTATAACACTAGGATCATAGTAATTTCAAAACTCAAGATTAAAGCACTATGAAATAAGTAAATGATATTATCCAATTGCTCTTCCTCCTCTGGTGCCACAGTCAGTGAGGGCTTGGCAAATATTTTCATAGCTTCCTTCCAAAATAGTTTATAAACTATCAAGGCTGGGCGCAGTAACTCACATCTGTAATTCCAGCACTTCGGGAGGCTAAGATGGGAGAATTTCTTGAGCCCGGGAGTTTGAGATCAACCTGGGCAACAAAGCGAGATCCTGTGTTTTCAAAAAATTAAAAAGATTAGCTGGGTGTGGTGGCATGCACCTGTAGTCCCAGCTACTCAGGAGGCTGCAGGGGGAAGATAGTTTGACCCCAGGAGTTCGAGGCTGCAGTGAGCTATGATTGTGCCACTGCACTTCAGCCTGGGTGACAGAGCAAGACCCTGTCTCAGAAAAAAAAAAAAAGAAAGAAAATTATCAGAGTTTACTTGAATGGACTGAACATGTTGGACCTTTCTGACCTGGCTTAAAGAACATTTTAAGTCACTTCCAAAGGGTCACTACTTTGGCGTTTTTTGTCCAAGTCTCACCATCCCACCATCCCATCCTCTCGTAGGACTGGCTTTATCCATCTTCGCGTTTTGTTTCTCTTTTCCATACCTTAAGAGGTTGTACTTAATGCCAGGCCTTATTGACACAATCATTTTAGTAATCAAGAAAATGTGAATAACTTGCTGGCCTGCCTTTAGCCACTTTTCCCTGGTCACAGCCTGAATTCTGTCACTACCCAGTGACTCCCAAACATAAGCTGAACTCTGGAAGGAACAGTCAGGTTTTATTGTCCCTAAGGAAGGAGAAAAGCAGAGAGATGTCCTGGTCCTCTTTACCTTAAAACTTTGCTCTTCGTAGTGTCTAATTTTCAGACATTGACTCTATCACCAGTAGCACCAACTTGGCCTCAGTTACAAGAGAAATGATTGTTACTAGTTGTAAAGAACCTGGCATGCAATGACAAATGCTTTGCAATAAATAGAAAAAAGAAACCAATACTTTTTTTAACTTGGTCTGTTGCTATTCTTCTTATGATATTTTGGTTGCTTGGAGTTTAGCTTCCGTTACATAGGATAAAGAGAGTAAGATGCTGCTTTTTTTTCCTCTAGAAAAAGCCCTTCTCAGCTCTGCTAGCAATTTAAATGCAGTGATCATACCCATTAGCTTCTCTATCATTGTAATTGTTGTTAATTGTTATAACTGTTTTAGTTATTAGTGGTGTCATTATTGCTGTAGGTCCTCTGTCTGTTTTATGCTGAATATATTAGTGCTTTGCTTTTGAATTACCAGGCTTTATTTAGTGCAGAGTTACGTTTTTTGGAGAGACATTGAGAAATGCTGGCATTAAGCTTTATTCTTTTGTTTTTTATTCCAAATGGACAGACTGGAAAAAAAATAATTAGATGGAATAATGTCCTCAAAATGAGAATGAGGATGTTTTGAATTAATTAAATGGTCAGAATGCTGCACCATTTCTGATTTCAGACGCCTGCCAGAGTAGTGTAAGCCTAAAGGAATCTAAATCCAGACCATAGAGGCAAGCCTCACCCTTGGGCTCTCAGTTCCTCTCTCTGCTCTACAGGAATCAAAGTCGGCCAGGCTCAGTGGCTCATGCCTATAATCCGAGGTAGGCGGATGGAGGGAGGCCGAGGTAGGCGAATTGCCTGAGGTCGGGAGTTCAAGACCAGCCTGACCAACATGGAGAAACCCCCTCTCTATTAAAAACCTAAAATTAGCTGGGCAAGGTGGCACATGCTTGTAATCCCAGCTACTCGGGAGGTTGAGGCAGGAGAATCCCTTGAACCCGGGAGGCAGAGGTTGTGGTGAGCCAAGATCGCGCCATTGCACTCCAGCCTGGGAAACAAGAGTGAAACTTCGTCTCAAAAAAAAAAAAAAAGAAAAGAAAAGAAAAAGAAAAGAAATCAAAGTCTCCTCATACATTCTCTTGTTTATAGGATGAGTTGGGCAGGTTTATGGAGAAGCTGGACTAACCCTGCAGACTTCTGGGCTTTTAAGCTCTTGCTGGTGCCAAGCTTCAGGAATGCAGCCCTCCTCCAACTTATCCTTTCCCCTCTTCAAGGTCTTTAAATAACACCCACTTGGTCAGAAAAGCCTTTTCTGATCCCTCAAACTATGTTAGATTCCCTATTACACACAGCATCCTCAACTTCTCCTTTACAGACATATCATAATCATAAATAAATATTTGTGTAACTGTTTTTTCCATGTTGCCTCCCCGACTAGAAGGAGGGCTCATGTGTGGCCAATGTGGGATTCCCAATATCTAACACAGCCCCTAGCATTTAGTAGGTACTGTATACATGTCTGTTGGATGCTGAGAAATGAATTAGTGAAGTTGCATGCACACATAGACATAAATGCATATCACATGTGTATTTAACAGGAAGTCTGCAGTATGGAGTCATCTTGCCCCGCTAAGGAATTACCCCTCACTGATTTCCTTAATATAGAATACTTCTAGCTAGCTAGCAAGTTCAAACTTTTCCCAGTTTTTAGCCCTTCATTCTGCCTGTTTTTTGGAGCTGTTCTACTTCTGACAATCCCTATTCTTGGACTGAGCTAAACCATCTCCTGGATTCCTGAACTCTTTTTTCTTTGGCCTTTAACATCAAAGACCTTTTCTATCTTTATTTCTTTCCTGGAAGGCTTCTGTTTTTCTCCTAGCTTCTTGCTTTCCCTGTGATCTGTTGTGGTTTTAGAATAAATCTTTCTCCAGATATTTTCCCAGGCCTATATGTACCCAATGTCAAATCACTTTTTATGTATACACCAAAAAGGCACTCAGTATTAGGACCTATCCCACATCCAGGCACACAGTAGGAAACCGTACTCCAAAGTGACTATCTGCTAGACCAGAAAAGACCAAGATAACCTTGTTGGTCTCCTTACCACTCAGAAATATTGTTATGGTTTTAGAATCTATTTTTACAAAAATGGTTTTCTCTACCATTTTTACATATATAAATCCATGAAAAATATTGATGTCAATATCCTTTCATTCCTGAATTTAGTCAAAATCTTGGAGTGATTAATCAACTCCATTAAAATTGAAAATTCATAATATATCCTCTGGGAAAACTACTTTCATTTTTCAGGGATTGATATTTCTCTATTATTTCATGTACTTGTATTTCCAAAAATGTATGCTTTGTCTTTTCAATAGTTAACATATTTCTCCCAAAGTATTTTTCTTCTAAACATATTATCAACTCTGTGGCAGAATGTTTTCACAGTATTTATCTTGTTTGCTGCCCTCTGTTGTCTACTGCACACACAGACAATTTTATGTGTGAAGAAAACATGCCTGAATTTCTATACGGTTGACATTTTTACTTTTGCTTGCAGTATCTGAGTCTTAACTAAATAGTTCTCTCCCTCCTCTGTTTTTGTACCCTTTAAGATTCCTACCAAAGTTCTCTTCCAGAGACATATAGGGATTTTGTACCTCTGTGTCTTTATTATTTAAATTGCTCACAAGTCAGGAACAAGTAGAAAAAAAGCAAATATAGGGAAGGTGTCTGTGCCCCTACTGCCCACTTGCCCTGTCCTCAGTCACCAGTACCATCACTGCTCATGGGAGGGTAAAATGAATAAAGGAAAAGGTGGAAATCTATAGAACAGAATCCCCCAAAATCATGTGAATTTTAATTAGAACCCAGGACTCCTGACTCCCATCAATTGAATTTCATCTTTTGTAGGTGCTTTGTTCACAGCTCTGATACAGAGCACCCCAAGGAACAAGGAGCATCCCTGGTCTAGTGGGCATTAGCTCTCCTGCCATTCAAATCCCCAGATTCTCTCCCACTTCGTACTCTAGTGTTTAACCTTTCCGGGTAGAAGATCAATACATATTCTTCATTGTTAAGAATCGATGGCTGTCCTGTGGCATCATTGCCATCTAGTTTTGCTGAGAAGCTCAGTAAATCTCTCCAGCTGCTTCTAAAGCTTGGTTTGTCGTCTTCAGTTGCTTTCATTTTTAATGCAGATCACTTTGGTTTCTGTTCCCCTGGGGCTTGCAGATAAATCTTGGCAGACATGTTCGGGGTCTACAAATGAGATGCTGGAAAAGGGCCAGCCCACCCGAATTTAGTTGTAATGGATGAGACACCCCCTTGGTTCCACTTAAAGACTGGGCTATTCGTTTCAGTATTTATTGGTGATTACCTCATATAGTACCTAGGTGAGAAGTTCCCAGGATAAGTTCCTATGGAAAAAGGAGGCCGAAAAGTGAGCTGTGATCCAGACGCCTGCTAGCTGACTCAGCCTTTCTTGCAAATAGGCAGAAGTCACAGATTTACTTTGATCCTTCAAATACATAATGAAGAGAAAAACTAGATAGTTTAGTTGCCCTGAATCAGAAAAGTCTAGCGGGAAACCTCTGCACTGCTTACTTACAAACCAAGTGAAAAATTACCTGCCTGATTTTCTTTTATTAATAAATAAATATATTTATCATATTGTTGAACGGCATCCTACTAGGAGTGATCTTTAAATATTTAATGTTAGTTAATGATCTCCTTCTCCCATAGTCCTTTGCTCATGCTGAGTGTTCGGCCGTATCTCATCTCAACCCTCCTTAATCTGAGGCTTTCTAGGGACAATATCAGAACCCTGGTTTCCATTTGCAGCAAAAACATGGGCTCCTTGGAAAAAATAGAGTCCTTTTAACTTTGATTTCTCCACTCTTTGATCAGCAGACTATGCCAGTTACTACCAGGGCCTATGGGATTGCCATGGTGACCAGCCAGATGAACTGTCCTTCCAACGGGGTGACCTCATCCACATTCTGAGCAAGGTAAGGACAGAAACCGTGGGGTTTGAATCGAAAGTCAATGTTTTCATTCTTGATTTAGTCACCATAAACAGAATTATTCCATGTCCTACCCTTCCCATGGCTCCCTCGTATATAAATTCCCATTTACTCATAATTGTTAGGAAAAGTTTTACATGAAATTCCAGATTCAGAAACCAATTTCACATTTAAAAATACAAGGCTAGGCAGGGCGTGGTGACTCACACCTGCAATCCTAGCACTTTGGGAGGCCGAAGCTGGTAAACTGCCTGAGCTCAGGAGTTCAAGAAGAGCCTGGGCAACATGGTGAAACCTAGTCTCTACTAAACTACAAAAAATTAGCCAGGTGTGGTGGCATACGCCTGTATTCCCAGCGACTAGTGAGGCTGAGGCAGGAGAATTGCTTGAACCCGGGAGACGAAGGTTGCAATGAGCCAAGATCACGCCACTGCACTCCAACCTGGCGACAGAGCGAGACTCCGTCTCAAAAATAAATAAATAAATAAATAAATAAATAATAATAAAATAAAAAATTTAATAAAATTGGTATTATACCAAAACTATGCCAATCAAAATTTAATCTTTCTCAGGGACTTCTGCTTAAAGGCCATCACTATGTACATAATTTATTACCACATAATACTATTGAAAACATTCTGGCTAGGTAAGCTGCCTTCTTATTTCATTTATAGATAAACAAGACTGTAACATAATTATGCATGGGGGAGGAGTCAGAGCTAGTTAACTCAATTGGTTTGAGCAATCGCTGATAAGGCCAAGAGAGTGAATTCAATCCCACACAGGTCAGCTAACTTTATTCTCTTCCTCAGTCACAAGTTAACCCCTAGTTCCAGCTAACCATCTCACAAATAGTATTGTTGACCATAAACAAACTGGTTTTTTTAAAAAAGGGTGGATTATTACAGATTAATCACTGATGTGAAGAAGATTCAGAACTCATGGGCTACAGTTTGGGGGATCAGTAGCATCATGTTGGTAAAGAAAGACCATACATATTCTATGGGTGAGCTAAAATAATAGGCTCTGTCCCTAGCACTTATTAAAAAGCCCTCTCTCTATGCAGCCAATCAATCTCCACAAACACATTTTTGAAATAGGCACAACTTGCTCTTTAATTGCTGAGTATGTGGATTCCATAAGGGAAAACTAAAAACCCATTGGTTATTAATCTATCATTTATCGTTTATCTTTCTTCTTTTTTTATGTGTCAATATCTTTTATCTTTATTCTGTGAATTTTACTACCTTGGGAAAAGGTTCGTTTCGGTTTGAGATATACCATAAGCACCTTAGGAAACAGTCTAGGTCTGACCCACAGCACCTTTCCATGGTTCCAACAGAATCAGGGCCCTTTAAAAACGGACCCAATTCAAACCCAACCCTTTGTTTGCAAGACAGTAGGAGGCCTGCAGGCCTTGCTGAATGAGATCACAATCTTCTAGTGATTTCTCCTGGATCCTTAACTCAGTACCACCCTAGTGCCATTTAGGTGCAGCTCCAATACACCAAGAATAAATTGGAAGCAAAGAAGGGAGTGGACATTGGCCTGATTGGTATTTCAAATGCCCGAAAGCAAGGTTTGCCGTGTAATAGAATTTGTGTACATTACCACGCTGGCATTACAGGGGTAATCGAGTTATCCACTCAGGTGTGACCAGGCCTCTGTTTGCCCAGAGCCTGCAGGTGAACAAATTAACTGTTTACTTTGTCTGGAGGTGCCTGCAGCAGGAGGGGGGAAGAACAGAGCCAGACTGGCTGCTGGCCTTCTCTCTGTCATGATTATTTTGTTTGTTTTGCATGTCTTTTGCCTTTGTTAATGGCTTCTCACTGGGGGTCCCTTTCCTCTAGTTAGAAGGGGTTGTGCGGTGACCTGTCCTGCAGTGTGGAGCTGTCTGTGATTACAGTGGCTATTGTATTTTTAAGAAATCTCAAAGAACATGGGGAACCAACCCAATCTTCAAAAAAATAAAAAAATAAATAAATAAAAAAATACCTCTTCCCCTTCTCTGTTACTTAAAGCTAACATAGGCCAGGCATGATGGCTTACACCTGTGATCCCAGTATTTTAGGAGGCCGAGGTGGGAGGATACTTGAGCCCAAGAGTTCGAGACCAGCCTGGGCAACATAGCAGGATCCCATCTCTACAAAATAAAAAATAAACTAGCTGGGTGTGGTGGTACATGCTTGTAGTCTCAGCTACTCTGGAAGCTGAGCTGGGAGAATCACTTGAGCCCAGGAGCTCAAGGCTGACCATGATTGCTGCCATGATTGCCACTGCACTCACCTGGATGGCAGAGTGAGACTCTGTCTCCAAAAAGAAAAAAAGAAGAAAAGAAAGCAAATACATCAGAGTTTAATTCAATGAGAATACCTCGCTGCCGTGTTTCTATCAGCTTCTTTCTCCTCTCTTCTGGAAGGTTCTGAGTCCATTTTCATCCTGTACCATTGTATTAATAGTAGCATATTTCTTCACCAAAAAGCTACACCAGCTGGCTCCCTTCCCCATGTTGCAAATCCCTGCATATCAAAGGGGAAATGAGAAGTTAAGAGCTCAGCCGAACTTTCCCTCATGAAGCTGCATTCCAGTTAACATTGGTTTGGGGAGCATTTCAGTTTTGATTCACCTTTATTATATTACCTAATTCAATAATAGTCCTTGGACAGGAGGGAACCTTAAAAGGCCATCCAATCTATTCACTGCCTTGCTTCTAAGAAGCACAAATGAACAAATTCAGACAGATAGAAAAGGAGATTCCACTACCATTCCCAGCCATCTGTCTATTTATAAGTTCAGTAGTGCCTCATCTCGGGAATTTTCTCTCAAATGGATCCTAATTTATTCCCACTTTAGCCTCAGCTGCCTTCTTTTGTTGGGGTCCGTTACACTCTGCAGCTGTCTCTCACACCTGTAAGGACAGAACTGACCCAAGTTGAATTTAGTCCAGGAAAATGGTGTCTAGAAAGCTCTATTTTACTTTTCTTTTTGTCCAGTAGAAGCTCCACTGGGCAAGAAGGGCCTGCTGTTTAGGAATCTGGGGAAATCTGTTTCCCTGAGAAACACAGATGCAGCTGTGTGCAGCTCAGCTTAACTGGACTTGTTTCCTCACCTGTTAAAAGAGAGAGTGGGGTTGGATAGCATCCAAGAATCCTTCTACCTCAGACATTCCCATTCTAAATATGGTGGGCCTGACACTGCAAAACTGCTAAAGAAGTTCCACACAAAAATGTGTTTTAGCTTTATTTATTCAGTTTAAACAAAAAAGAATTTTTTTTAATTACCAGCTCTTTTGTTTTCAGTTATCATAAATACATCTGGTTTCCCCCTCTCTATCTGATAAAAGTATTCTGAAAGGCAGAGTCCGGGGTGCGGAGGTTAGAGGATCTACAAAGGGAGGTGAGATGGAGGTGGCGGGGGAAATGAGGATGGAAGCTTTAGTCATAGGCTCCTGCTGCTCCCTGCTGTTATCTTAATAGTCACCCCAAGTATGATCCAACTTTGAATCTTAGAATCTTGGGACCAAACTCAGGAGAATCTTTTTTTTTTCTTTTTTTTTTTTTTGAGACGGAGTCTCGCTCTGTCACCTAGGCTGGAGTGCAGTGGCACGATCTCGGCTCACTGCAAGCTCTGCCTCCTGGGTTCACGCCATTCTCCTGCCTCAGCCTCCCGAGTAGCTGGGACTACAGGCGCCCGCCACCATGCCCGGCTAATTTCTTTATTTTTTCTTTTTTTTTTTTTTTTTAATAGAGACAGGGTTTCACCATGTTAGCCAGGATGGTTTCGATCTCCTGATCTCATGATCCTCCCACCTCGGCTTCCCAAAGTGCTAGGATTACAGGCGTGAGCCAGCACACCCGGCCCAGAAGAGAATCTTTTAGTCTTGCCCTTGCACAAAAATGATCACAGAAAGAGAGCTATTTATTGCTTTTTTTTTTTTTTCTTTTTGAGACAGAGTTTTGCTCTTGTTGCCCAGGCTAGAGTGTGATGGCATGATCTTGGCTCACTGCAACCTCCACCTCCTGGGTTCAAGCACTGCCTTAGCCTCCCAAGTAGCTGAGATTACAGGCTCGTGCCCCCATGCCCAGCTAATTTTGTATTTTGAGTAGAGTCAAGGATTTGCCATGTTGGCAGGCTGGTCTCGAACTCCTGACCTCAGGTGATCCACGCACCTCAGCCTCCCAAAGTGCTGGGATTACAGGTGTGAGCCACCGAGTCTGGCCATCCCTTTTCAAAAAAAAAAAAAAAAAAATTATCCAGAGAAGATGATTGGCTGGGCAAGAAAGATGCTCCCCAGTGGCTGGGCGTGGTGGCTCATGCCTGTAATCCCAACACTTTGGGAGGCCAAGGCAGGAGGATCACCTGCAGGCGGATCAAGGCAGGTCAGGAGTTCGAGACCAGCCTGGCCAACATGGTGAAACCTAGTCTCCACTAAAAATACAAAAGCTAGCTGGGCGTGGTGGCGCATGCCTGTAGTCCCAGCTACTTGGGAGGCTGAGGCAGGAAAATTGCTTGAACCAGGAGACGGAGGTTGCGGTGAGCTGAGATCCTGCCACTGCACTCCAGCCTGGGCGACAGAGTGAGACCCTGTCTCAGAAAAAAAAAAAAAGAGGCCAGGCACAGTGGTTCAAACCTGTAATTCCGGCACTTTGGCAGGCCAAGGTGGGCAGATCACCTGAAGTCAGGAGTTCCAAGACCAGCCTGGCCAACATGGTAAAACCACATCTCTACAAAAATACAAAAATTAGCTGAGCGTGGTGGTGGATGCCTGTAATCCCAGCTACTCAGGAGGCTGAGGTAGGAGAATCACTTGACCCTGGAAGGCAGAGGTTGCAGTGAGCCGAGATTACGCCACTGCACTCCAGCTTGGGCAACAGAGCGAGACTCCATCTCAGAAAAAAAAAAAAGGAAAGAAAGAAAGAAAGATGATCCCTAGACATAACCAGTGCCCATCACCTGTCCTGTTCTCAGGGAAGTAAGTGCCTATA